TACAGTATTCAATTTACTGGAAGTAATTAAAACGCCATCAACACCAATGAACCATGCATATAACATCTCATTTCGTGTATACCTTTATCAAAGTGGGTAGCGTTAAAATACAAAGTTAATCCATTTGGCAACCACTAGACAGTTATACTTGACCTGTAATGCTGGTTGTCATATTTCACTAATAAACCCAAAGTAGATTGCAAGAGTTCCCCTTGCAGGGCAACGGTCCAAGGCCAGGTCTACCAATATAGTGGACTGGGGCAGGAAGACCTGTTCTTTGGAGGCCAGATCTAGCAATATAGTGGAAATGGGAGGGTAGACGTGTTTTCCAGAGGCCAGGTCTACCAATATAGTGGAAAAAGGAGGGGAGACCTGTTCTCTAAAGGCCTGGTTTACCCACGTAGAGGACAACATTTTCTGTAATGAAATTTGACTTAATTCTGTTTTCTCTTATAATGTTTAAATTATTCTTAAAATATAGTTTAAATGTAGTTTAAAAGTATTGTGGTTATGGAAATAATCTTCTAAAAAACTAATTTACGCAATAGTAAAATGTAGACTCACTCACAGCTTTAATGCTACTAGCTTTTTTCGCTTATGAGGTAGAATTTTTGCTCACAACACTGTGGAACTTTGAGGGAACATTGAGGCTGGCAACACTAACCACACCTCCCTCAGTCTTCTGCCAGATACAGACAGAGGAGCACTCACTCCCAGTGTTCCCTCTAAGCTGAGTTAGTGTGAGCTAGCTCACAGTTTTTTAGCCTCTGGCTCACACATTTTTGTCTTTGCTCGGGAAGGATGGCTTCAGAGCAAACTAATTTATGCAGTAGCCAAATTGCTCACTCACAACTTTGATGCCAGTAGCTCACAAAGTAGAATTTTTGCTCACAAGACTCCACAGCTTAGAGGGAGCATTGCGTTACTCCCCTTTTTAACTTAAAAGAATTGTCTTCCCATGATTTTGTGGGGATCAATAAGGAGGCCAAAACCCTATTTCACTCAGACTTTTCAAGTAAGAAATGACCAACTTAATACCTGATGACATCTTCAACAAACACTCAAGAATGCATGCCTCCACTAAAAAGAATGGGCCTAACTATTTGCTAGTTAATACTTTATAAAGTTGAAATAGACATCATGCCAATTTTGCACTCCATATTAAATGGTGCAAAGTGTAAATCCACATGGGGAATCCATTTTCATTGGCCCTGAGCATGTGACAAGAAAATTAGCATATCATCCCACCTGCCCATGCTTTCAATTGGTTACGCTTACCCTCCTCTTCTAGGTGAACCCTTAAAATGAGCCTTTGACCATCAAATATCATGAAAGATGGCCCACTTATCATAAGAGCTGGATTTGTATCTGGTGGACTGGACTGGACCAGAAAGTACTTCTGGGGAAGAAGAAATTCTCAACGCTGTATTCCTGGTTCCAAATTCTCTGCTGGGGCAGTAGCTTCAGAGGAGCAGTATAGCATGCAAATCAATGTGCACTTCTCTGTGTTGCTCCTTCAGTTACCAAAAATTGCAGGCTGCCTCCCACACTGTAGAAGTAACGTGTCTTATGCTTTGTATTTCTCACACACAGATCACAAAAAATTGGTAGAACTCCTCCAGTTAGGAAGCACGAATCTCTACTTGGTCACGGACTCCATAGAACATGCTCTGACGTCCTGCCACCCTCGCACTCGTTACTCACCAGGCTGGGATGCTAAACTCTTCTACATTCCTATCTCCTACTTACCAACCACAGTAGTAGACTATATACTGACCCGTCTGCTGCCCAAACCAGCACAAGGGATATAGTTGGTTTTCTAGAAACAGCATTAACATCGATTGAACAAGCCAATCAACTTCAGAATGGATACAACTGACACTTTACCTTTTGAAACTCTTTTCAGATACAGCCCAATCAAACTAAGATTTTTTAAAAAAATAAAAGTTTTTATTGTTTCCTTTTGAATTCTATGCTGCTCCCTTGCCCTGCCTATTCACCTTATTGCCTTATTCTCCAGTCACGCAGCTTAAAAACCTCAAACCTAGAAAGGGTCTGATGCTCTCACACCCTGTAAATAAGACAGAAGACACAAGAACTGGGTGATTAATTAACAGCTAGATGCCTCTATCCTCCTGAGGATTTCCACAGAAGGAAGGGGGAGTCACTGTCACTGATTCCCTCCTCATTCTGTATCTGGAGGTTCTCTGTCCCTTAGGAGTCAAATTGTGCAGGCTATCTTTTGCTTCAGTGGGAGGGCAGAGGTGAGAAAGCCACGGCCCACTGTTGGAAATCCATTCTGTTAATGGAAAGTTCTGGTGGATCCAAGCCATTAACAGCTGGACTATACTACTGTTTAAATTTCTCCAGCTCTTCACGGAAGGATCACTAAAAGGTTCCCAAGAGGAATCCCAGCATTTGACCAATCCCACCCCAGCTTGACACCAAGGTTCAAATACATCCTACATGTGATGTGAATAGGGTTGTGTGTGTCCGGCTACATTCTCAGTCACATGTTCACATGAACACCAACCTTTAAAAACCCCTCAGTTGCTCCATGCAGCTCCAAACAAGGGGATGAAGGAGGATCTTCAGGTTTCATTGCCACACTGTTTCTCCAGCAGAAAATGGTTGCGTGGTGAGGGCTGTTTGCCCTTTCCCCAAGTTCCACGTATCTATCCCTGGAAGATTTCCTGAAGGTGAAATTTGAACAGGAGGGAAGCCCTTGTTTACCTCTCACAGCATTCCCCACATGAACGTGTGACTGAGAGTCAAGTCAGGCACCTGTGTCCCTACTTGTGTCACACACAACATATACTTTGGCCCTTGGGCCGACAATAATGCTGTGTCTTGGTTTTTGTTGCTTGCACTTAAACCTGTTGTGGAGAACCCCCCTCCGTTCTGTATTTTAAAAGTGTGTTTGAAAGGTCTGATCCTGACAGATGACTTTAAGTTTGTAAAAGGCAATCCATCCATCAGTAGGCACAGTGATAACTGGCTTCAGGGCTTTCCTTCTTTGTAGTGTCTCTGATGACAAATCTTGTAGGATTTGCACCTTGTGATCTTGAAACATAAAAGAGCCAGTAGAATGTGCTGTAGAGAGAATTTTAGCTCTTATTTGTGAGTTTGCAAATCTCACCAATATGTCTCTTGGAAAAAGTCTTTGCTGTCTCCGGATTGTTCCCAGACTATAAGTGGCTTCAATTATTGGTAATATTTCTTCATCTGAATTAAAAGTTTTGGTTAGCCATGTGGCTACCAGAGGCTGCAGCTCGGTGGAATCTTCTACTGGTTCAGGGATCCCTCGGAGTTTTAAGTTGCAGGCTTAAGTTGATTTTCAATCGTGATGATTTTATCAGCAGTCATCATGCTGATAAAAGTAACTTGTGTAGTCCTGAAGAGTAAAGGCATGATTGAGTGCAGAGTCAGCAGTCTCCATAACTTTGTCTAAGGAAGCCTTTAGCTCTGTGATTTGATCTGTGAGTGGTTGTCAAAGGTCAGTCAGTTTGTTTGTCATGTTGGTTTCCAATGTTTGGATAGCTTCAAAAAACTCCTGATGAAAAGCAGCAAGGCCATCTGCTCTCCCGCCAATCAGCTGGGGGGCCTTTTAAATCTTGCAGGAGTGGAGGAAGATGGGTGGCCACGGGTGGCTGCTGTGGGTGGTGGGGCTTTTCCTGCTGGCCAGCTGACCAGTGGTGAGCAGGAACCTGCAAAACTGGGGGATCCCCCGCTCTCACCTGGGGACTGGCATCCAATCCACTGCCAGCCAGCTGCCCTGCCCCCAAAGAGCCCCATCGTGCCCGACATGCCCGGTGTGATGACATGACCATAGAGTTTTTGGCCAAATGGTAGAGCGTCTCCTGCACGACGTGCCCAGCATGATGACGTCACTTCTGGGTGATGTCATTGCAATGTCATTGCAGCACCTGGCAACCCTAGGGCAGACTGCACACATCTAGGTAGGAAGGGGGACCTTGGTAACACACCTCCCTACTCACAGCTAAAGATAAAATGGAGACACAACCATTTCTTTCTCTACACAGTAATAATGCAATTATTAGTATCCCATCTGTGAAGGCAAACTATAATTTTCTTGATCCATTACCTACATCAGATAGTTCCAGCAGGTAGCCTTGCTGGCCTGCAGCAGAAAAGTTAAATTTCAGTCCAGTCCCACCTTAGAGACCAGGAAGATTTTAGGAATATAGGATTTCAAGAGTCAATGCTTTCTTGGTCAGATACCAACAAAAGGAGCTCTGACTCTCAGAACCTTATAAAACACAAAGTAGAAATTACATAAGACAATATTACATATAAACCACATAGCGAACAGTAACAAAATAAAACACAACAAAAGATAGGGAAATAAATACTAAAATAAATACATATACTAGCAGTAATACATTACAGAGAGAAAGTACACATAAACACCACCTAGCATAAACTATACACATAGTCATATTCACACATATATTCTTATACACAAACTTTATGTGAAATAAGCGTAAGCAATACAAATACAAACGGTAATACCCAAATAAACATCACGTCTGGCTCCCACGATAGATAATTGGTTCTCAAAAGTCTGGGACCTCCTCATTATGGAAAAGATAACAGATACTTTACGACAAGTCGACTGCTTCCCACAACACTAACTTCTTTAAGAAATGGTCTCCATTTATAGAATATATAGCTGCATCTGACATCCAACTACATAACCTGATATATCTCAAAATGATTTACACCTAACTAATATATTTCCTCTACTTTTTGGGAGTCTGGTTGTGTTGCACTAACGACATCATTGACGTTTATCTGATCTTCTAGGAATATAAAACCAATTACCAGAAAGATCTTTAAAGAGTACACAACTTTATTACACACTGTTTAATTCTTATGAGCACTGCTGATACTGACCCAATATTAAGACTGTTATCCTCACGTTACTAAATGAGTAATATATTGAAATATATCTTGACTCTAGTTTGCAAAAATTTGTAATTTCTACTTGTAATTCTGTATTTCTGTATTCTCTTTGAAATATTAATAAACTGTGAAAAACAAAACAAACAAGCAAACAAAAACCTTATACCCCCCAGAATCTTGTTGGTCTACTGGACTCAAATGTAGCTGTTCTACTGCAGGCCAGCACGGCCACTCTCTGGAACCTAGCTGTTCTTACATCACAGTTTGTGTTGCAAGCTACAGGAAATACATTCTTCAGTGAAGGCACTGAGGCCTCCTGATTGCTAGATACAGGGGTTGTTTTCCTCCCAGAGCACGCCAGAGCGGCAGTCCGGTAGAAATGAGCCTAGGCCTGCCCCCCCCAGGGGGGGAATAAATGCCTGGCTTCCCAGCCCAATCTTCTCCAGGTGCCCTGCAGCCACGGGGCACCTGGCAAAGATCGAGCAAGGAAGCCAGGCATGTCTTCCCGCCTCCCCTTCCTTCTCCAGCCAACCCACTGTGGTGGGCTGGCTGGAGAAGAAAGGGGAGGCGGGGAGACATACCCTCCTTTCCCCATGAGCCTCTCCACTTTTGCAGAGAGACTCATGGGGGATTTAAATGCCCTGGGTTCCCTGCCTGATCCTCTCCAGGTGCCCTGCAGCTGCAGGGCACTTGGAGATGATCAAGCAGGGAACCCAGACATGCCTGCCTCTCCCCTGAGCCTCTCCGCTTTTGCAGAGAGACTGGGGGGGATTTAAATGCCCTGGGTTCCCTGCCCGATCCTCTCCAGGTGCTCCACAGCCACGGGGCACTTGAAGAAGATGAAGCAGGGAACCCAGACATGCCTACCTCTCCCCTGAGCCTCTCCACTTTTGCGGAGAGACTGGGGGGGGGTAAATGCCCTGGGTTCTCTGCCCGATCTTCTCCAGGTGCCCTGCAGCTGCGGGGCACCTGGAGAAGATCAAGCAGGGAACCCAGGGCATTTAAATCCCCCATGAGTCTCTCTGCAAAAGTGGAGAGGCTCATGGGGAAAGGAGGGTATGTCTCCCCGCCTCCCCTTTTTTCTCCAGCCAGTGATCTGGGACCCCAGGAGCGTGAAGTCTGTCACTACTTCCACGGCTTCCCCTTCTATTTGCCAAGGAGTGATGGGGCTGGATGCCATGATCTTAGGGTTTTTTATGTTGAGCTTCAAGCCCACTTTTGCGCTCTCCTCTTTTACCCTGAGCAAGAGGCTCTTGAGGTCCTCTTCACTTTCTGCCATTAGAGTGGTATTGTCTGCATATCTGAGGTTGTTGATCTTTTCCCCAGCAATCTTAATTCCTGCTTGTGATTCATCCAGGCCAGCATTTCGCATGATGTACTCCTTTAAGTTTTGGCAAACTCTACAGTTGACTTGGTTAGAAAAAACAGATTTGGTGAAAGCCTTTGGCCTCCCAAAAATTATACATTCAGCCTGCTTTGGTGCGGAGGGTGGGGTATAAATTAAATAAATAAAATAAATATTTTTTCGAACACTTCCAATTCCTCTAACTCCTACTCAAATTTGATCCTGGCAGAATCTATTAAACAACTTTATTTGGGATTTTTTAAAAAGCTAGAATAGAGCACAGCTCATCAAGCAAGAGGGTCTTTCATAACCAGACCTTGAGAGATACTGGGCAGCCACACAATTGGTTAACATACTCAAAATAATGCAAATTGAAAATGTCCCTGATCGGGTAGTAACAGAGGAGGAATACTGAAAACCTTACCGCTTAAGAGGAGTGATATGGAATACTCCAAAGAGTAGGCCAAGCTCAATATGGGATAATGAGTTTTTATTAAGCTAGCTCAAGCAATGGGACAAGTTAAAGGCGAAATTAGCTCCAGAGACGTCCCCAATTATGCCATTCACAGGACAAGCCTTTTTCCCCCCAGCTGAACATCCAAATGCATTTCTAAAATGGAGAATTAATAACATGGTC